TGTGAGATCATTTCTAACTTATCTGATTGCTTTTTGCTTTGAGATCTTTGGCTCAATCGATTGAATATTAGTTTTTCTTTAAGAGAATGGTTTTTGTCTTTGTTAACTTGTGAGTTTTTGTTTTGAAATGTATGTAAAAAGTGATTACTCGATGCAACTGAACGCGTCGAGGATCAAAGTTTTACAAGCACAAGATGACATTGTCAATGCAATGAAAGAAGAAGCAGCAAAAGAGCTTTTGAAAGTTAGTCACCATGGCTTTTTCAATCATCATAACCATGAGTATAAACATCTCTTGAAACATCTCATTGTTCAGGTCAGTTTTCTCGGAGACAATAACGAAAAACTCAAACCATTGTTTTCAATTTGCTTCTCTACTCTAAATTGGTGTTAGTAAATGCATTTGCAGTGTTTGCTTAGATTGAAAGAGCCTTCAGTGTTATTGCGTTGTCGTAAAGAAGATCTTCACATGGTTGAGTCTATGCTTGATGATGCGAGTGAAGAATATTGCGAGAAAGCAAAAGTTCATGCTCCTGAGATAATAGTAGACAAGCATGTTTTCCTTCCTCCTGCTCCTTCCGACGATGATCCTCATGCTCTTTTCTGGTGAATTTCTTGAAAACCAGAACACTAAAAACTATGAAAGAACCAAACTATAAAAAATACCAAATGACATTTTGTGGTTTGTAACAACAGTGCAGGAGGAGTGGTGCTGGCTTCTCGTGACGGGAAAATCGTGTGTGAAAACACGCTCGATGCGAGGTTGGAGGTCGCTTTTCGCAAGAAGCTTCCCGAGGTTAAATCGAAATTCCCTATTTACTACTCTCTTAAAATTGCAAATACCATCATAGGCTAATATTTTCCGTTTTATAGTATCTAAGAATCATCTCATTTGATTTTACAAGAACTCGAGAAAAAGTTTTGATCTTTCTCTTATCTTTTGAGATTTTTCTTCTAAAATATGTTTAATTGAATGTGTGTAGATCCGAAAGTCGCTCTTTGGCAAGATTGGTGCAGCTTGATGAAATGATTCCAACTTTAAACCAAGAAAAGTTTGGCTCCATTTATTCATTTCTTTCTATTGTTACCATTTTTAAAAATTGTGTGTATTGTGTCGATTGGCCGTATGATTTCATTATCGGGCTTTGGCCTTTTGTTGTTATTCTCTTTTTAATTATTTGTTGGTCCATGTACTATCACTGATCATGATTTGGTTTGGTGAGAGACTAGTAACAAAACACAAATTAATATTTTTTCTTTGTCAAGTTTTCTTTTTTATATAATTTACAAGTTGGTTAGTCTGTACCATGTACAAACATGTTATAAAAAAGAATTAATTCTAAAATATAAATTTAATTATTGTTTATAAAGTTAGAAACTATCAAAATGTTAATAATGCATACAAACAAATATCAAAGAAAATGAATCAATAAAAATAAATTATATCCACATAGCAATTTTGTTTTCAAATAATTTTCAATTGTTAGTGTAAACATATGGATTTCATTTTTTAAATATGATTTTTAAACAACTCATCATTAAAACATAAATGATAGCGAAAGAGATTAAACCATTTGTATATAATTTAGTGATCCACAACGTAGTTTATATTAGAGATGAAGAAGAAAAGGAGAGAGAGGCCAATGTCATCAAGAAAGGAGGCCAAAGATCTCCATGACCAAAGTATTGGTCAAGGAAGAAGAAAGGAGAGTCAAGGCCGAAGTCTATAAGGACAAGACCGAAGATCTCCACATCAAAGAAGAGCTAAGGGCTAAAGAAGATCAACAAGCCTCGGCCAAGTATTCACACATTGTGTGTATAGTCCAAGTCTCGGTTAAGCTAAGGAGAAGTGTGAGAAGTTAATCAAGGCTTATCAAGACTCGGCTACATTGTAATAATGAGTCAAAAGTGATCAAGAGAAGCCTAACACCATCACACTCTCAACGGCAGCCGAGAAGCATTAAACAAGGCAGATTGTGATCCATTCAAATCTGGAGGGAATCAACAGCTACAACATTAAAATAAAGGAGGGAAATCTGTCACTATCACATTCTAGGAGTCTCAAAACATCAGTCATGTGTTATCCCTTTCTTATCAACGTTGGGACTCATTTTGAACTGATTCCCTTCTCTCCTCATGTCACTTTCATCCTTGGAAAACACATCTAGCTTTTGGAGAGCTCTCACACACATTCACACTGATTTTCTTCTATAAATACATGTAGTATTTCGTTATTGTATTTATCCATCTAATAAACAAAACTGATCAATAAAATCAGATTACAATGTAGATTCTTTGTTGTTCTTGCTGTTCTAACCATGAGGAGAGACCAAACTCTTAATACCTTGGTCTCCTGCATTCCTCTTGGTTATTCACTCATTTACAACCTTACAATCTCATTCTTCTCACCTCTTAACCCTATTAACATCACAAATGATGTAATAAAAGATTAAAGAGCTTTCCATTCTCTAAACACATTTTAGACTCATTTAGCACATTCTTAGCTAAATAAATCAATCTCTCTTCATCTTATTCCGCATATTCTAACATGGTATCAGAGCATGGTTCCTTTCTTGGTTCCTCTTAAACTTGTTCTCACATTTTTCTTAATTTTTTTTTTCTTCGATTTTATTCTCTTCCACCTCAATGTTGTGCAAGCTTGGTTTCTGGTCTTGTTGACGTCCCTAGACCAAGCTTGTGGGAGAGAAATTGATTTGAAGATACGTACCATTTCGCTTTGTCCAATGGATAAAAGCTTTCTTCTAATGGTGCATCCCTTTACCCGATGGAAAAACTGTTTTTATCCATGGGTTCACTTTGCCTTTCTTTTCTGTTTTCAGCCATGGAAAACACTTTATATGTGTTATTTCGTGGTTCTTGATGTTTAAAGCTCCCGGAAAACCCTTGTCCATGAGTTATTCTAGTGGTTGTTGTCTTTGACCGGTGGGTAAAGTCATTGCCCAACAGTTCACTGAGTGTTCCAGCCATTAAAACGCCAATGTTCTTGTTGTTGCTTGGCTATTTTTAACTCAAGAAAATAGAACATGGTGTAGTAGATTAAAATGATATTTGGAAATCATATTAACTAGTTGGATTTTACTTTTTTTTATTATTTTGTAAGATCGTAGATGAAAACTTATTCGACCATTAAACATCATCAACAGGTTAATATCAGGTTGATGAACAATTATTAAAAACATGAAGAGACTAATAAAAGCAGAGGTAGTACAAGTCACACTACCATAAAAAAAATATATCAAAAATGAAACATGATTATAGATTAATTAATCTAATAGCCACTAGTTAATGAAGAAATACAACTAATATTTTGTTAAAGAAATTATATATTTGTAACATGAATATCACATCAAAACTAAAATCATACGAATCACAAAATAAATCGACGTCGTTTAGAACATTGAGACCATCGTCTACCAACCAAATACGTTTTACAGTTATTGGTGGGTCGCTGCTTTTCGTTTGTCCCTTGGTTCCATCGACGAGTCCGTCATTTTCACTGTATAAATTATATATCTCCAACCCAACAAATCTCTCACTAC